TTCCTAAGGTGCCCCCTATCAAATGATAGTCAAGTGGTTCCGACATTATTCCTTAATTTGATCTGGTTCAGGTTTTCGTCTATGACTACCATTGGTGTTTTGGTACCAATGTGGTATCTACTCCAAATACTGATGCTGTCAATTGCCCTTGTCACTTTAGACCCGGCATATGCTTCGTCGTAGGCCTCTTCTGGATATCTGTAAACTCTGTTTTGACTAATTGGGCGGTACAGGTGAAATCTGACCTCAATAAAGAAAGCCACGCAGTTTCAGTGTTCTACCCAGAAACGGCCATGGCCCCCAATTCATTAGAGAAACAGACGACGATGCTTTGCTGTATACAGTGGGTGCCTCGGAGGTCGTTTGGTGTTCTTACCTGCTAAAACCAGTTTGGTGTTCGCTAAGGGCTTTGAAAAACGCATTTTATTGGCAATTTACCCCTCGTTCTGAACGGACTAAGTGTTTTTTGTTTAGTTGCAGCAGCGTATCCCGAAAGACAGTGGGTCCTGTACCATGTAGGTAAGATTTTGATAAATTGGGGGTGACCTCTGTGTAGGTACATCAGTCTGGGCATTACTCTATTAAACTGTGGGGACCGTTCCATTTGGCGCTATGATCTGTCTGGTTATGTCTGTCTTTTTCGCGCCATTCTGCCTTAGATTAACAAATTTGTAATGCAATACTTGACTCATCTTACGCACTGCAAAACTGACCGCTTGCATGCAAAATTTCAAATTCTTCTATGCAATGGTTGCCGAAATATGGATACTTTTTTGACAGAACCAAGCTTTGCCTAAGCCAAGCTTTGATCAGCCCAAAGGAACACTACCCAATTAAATCACTGCAAATTACATAATGTAGCAGCACAACAGACATGAAAGTCAGTTAATTGGTAGTGACACACCTGACTACACACTTTTACATTCACAAATCTGATATGAGATCGGAGTTTTTTGAAAAAAGAACATATTTTTACCTAGGTATACCTTCGAAACTGAAATATTCCATATTAAATGTCAAGTCTGTATAAATATTATTTTAATAACAATTATTATTATTATTATTATTATTATTATTATTATTATTATTCCGAATTGTTAATATTATCATTCTAAAACGCTGACTATCCATATACATGTATTAAAGGATTATGTCAGTAAACGAATATATGTTGAAAGTAACCTTCTCACCGGGCCTACAGAAATATTTTTCATTAAATAATCGCAGATATTTCTCTGACTATTCACTGTGCACATTTCTTTGCACGTACCTATGTCACCATTGAAACGGTCTCTACCAGAAATGAGTTAATAAGGGTGACTTGACTTACCTGAGAGCACGACGTCTGTAACCCCAGATGAAGGTCCGTACTGTCAAAGCTGACTATGAGCGGTTCTCCATCAGGAACCGTTGTTTCCGGCGTGAGGCACATCTTATAGGAAGGAAGTGGTAGTGTCCGGTTGTAATATACTCCTGCCTTGTTGACATTAGATATCTGAACATTGTTCATTGCTAGGTCACCACCAAAGCTTCTGAACGAAACCCCGTTGCTCAAACTGTCGAAGTAACTATTGTTGATTATCGCATGCCCAGCTATATCTCTGAGTAGAACGCCATTACCGATTACATTTGTAATATTGAGGTTATCAAGCACAGGCGGGATTCCAGTAACAGATATGGCTGCTGCATCATTGGAGTGTGTCCCGATGTTAGGAAGACCTGCGAATTCGATGTCTACATATTGAAGATCACTTACTCCTGGCACGGAGGTGTTAGTCACCAGCTCTATCCCAGACCAGTACTTGGCTGTTTCGTTGGGATTCCCACGATAACCAGTGTAACCTGAGCACTGCAGCCACACATCTTGACTGTGAACTGAAAAACAAAAGAATAACATGGACGAACATTGAGGAATACTGCACTGCCCAAAAAATTAGCGAACATGTAGAAAATCATATATTCAAAATAATACGTTTATTTTCAACTAGAAGAGCACTCGGACAGCGCAGACCTCTGAGAACCTCGGAGAAATTTTGGTACCAGCTTAGTTGTCAGCACGGTCATTGCACAAAGGGTCAAAGTCATTGGCCGTATCTTGCAATGGTGACGAATCTTTTTAAGATACTTGGATCCAGATGTTGAACCAGGTCACGAACCCCAACCAAAATCTAATCACCTTTTTTCATCAAAATACATACATAATTTATTTAAATAGAATATAGATCGCTTCATCGTCTTCGTCTGAAATAGCTTATAACACAAATGTAGACCTCATGAACTAATCTATTTTAATCTCTATATACGTAGACAGTAACGCGTCTTCTCGTGAAAGGGGCAATTTTTGTAGAGAGCAATACTCCACACGCTGCCAACTATAGAGACTAGTCCCGCCTATGTTTGTTAATTTTATCCATACTAGGCAGTCAATCTAATTTTGAATACCAATATTTAGTTTACATGCCAAAATCACAACATCAATGGCTTAATTCGAAATATATATTGGGGAAAGGCCCCCTCCTCACACACCTCTGCTGCCCAAGGCAGTCGGAGCGCGGGCTATAATATTATGTTTTAAAAACCCCTGCCCACTTTTTTCACGTCAACACAGGTAGGGACGGGCTGGTTCTTCTTTTATTCCTTCTTCTACTTCTTTTTCATCTTCTTCTTTTTTTCTTTTTTCTTTTTATTATTATTATTATTTTTGTGTGTGTGTGTGTTTGTGTGTGTGTGTGTGTGTGAGAGAGAGAGAGAGAGCAAAAACTGGTCAAAAGTTAACACTTTTTGAGACCTAGTCGCGTTGGATCAACGTTGAAAACAGGTTGAAACGTTGAATTGCCGTTGTTCTGCCTAAATGCAACGTAAAATCAACGTTGATCCAGCCACGTCAAAACACCGTCATAATGTGACGTTGACTCAACGTTGTTTTTTGGTCATTAACACAACCTTGCAGACATGGATTGTAATTTAAAATATTAATTATTGAAAACGTGATACTTTGTTTATTTATAATGTAACTAACTTTATCAAAATAATCAAAAAAGTGTTAAAAGTAAAAGTGACAGTTGTTTTCTGTCTTTAGTGAACTAGTGAATTTTCTTAACTTGTTATTCAGAAATACATTCCAATAAACTGAATTCCTTGCAAGGTCAGCTAACACTAGGATGAATAAGTTGCTGTAAATGTGATGGAGTGAAGTTAATAAAGTTGACAGTTCTCGGTAACCTGTTATAACAGGTTGAGGTGACTGTACATGTGACTTTGTGACTTCGCATCCGAGGCCTGTCATTCTTTAAAAGAACGGACCACCCCTTCAAATAATCCTGGATAAGCCCCTGTTGTACTATATATTTATCTTAATATTTTAGCTGTTTATTTATTTCATTTCATTGTCATTTCATCTTAGTTTCTTAATTTACCTTTATAAAGGAACGTTAAATGGATTTTACAATAAGTCGCCATAGGTTTTCAGTCAGGCTTTATACGATGTCAACCATAAATGATCGATCATTAATGACAGTCGAGGCTAAAGTCGGAGGCAGTCAAAGCACTACACAAAGGCAATCGGTGTACCTGACGTACGGTACGCGGTACTATATTTTTGTCCATCAGGTAGAGGGCCCATCGTGACAACCAATGTTCATTAGTATAATGTGAAAGCTCATTTATAATAACACAATTTACATAGCACTTGTGTCGCCCGCAAATATCTCATACTATTAAATAAATAGTCAAATCGCATCAAATCATTTTAATATGGGCAGAAATTATCAGAAATAACCATAAACCATTAATATTGACTTACAATCTCTTTACAAAGATAACTTTATTGGTTTATTTTCCCCAAAAATGCCTTAAATTTAACCTCAGGTGACCAATCTCATTTGATCAAGGTCATCCAATATTAAAAAAATATTGTCACTGATTTCTTTAGAACTATCCTTCAGTTGGATAATAATAAATAAATTACTGCCCTATCCTATTTTATTTTCACATTATGGACGTTTTCCTCCCCTATCCCCATCTTTTTATATGCGACCATTGAAGCAACATGGTGTTATATAAAGACCATTTACATAAAAAAAAAGATTTGACAATTTTACCAAACAGATAATGATTCCTGACTAAATGAGCTTTCACATGATTCCTATGAAACTTGGTCACCCAATTCGTACAGACAGGCCAAAATTTAGGGGTCTACCTGAAGGAGTGTTGGAAGTGTTTGATTTTTAATTCAAGTTCATATTTCGATATTGCAAAATCTGGCAGCCAGCATCCAGACAGAAGATGCTGAAGTGCAAACGAAAGCTCCCTATTGCATGAGTGCATTATGATGGCGGACTCTCAAGGATCTAGATGGAATGTACAGAAAAGTAGAAAATAACACGCACCGTCCCACCACATTTTAAAATTTTCCTGACGAGAAGCACAATACTTTTTAGACTTTATATTGATGAAGAAAGCTACTATAATATAAGCACGAATATGAAATAATATATGGAGAAGTAAAAAATAACACGTTAATATTACAACGTACTTACGGCAGTTGTGTACACGGACCCCATCATGACGGCAGTCCCATAGAGAGTCCTCGTGTCCATTACATCTCACGTTATTGAGTAGAATATTCCCAGTACCACCGCCTCTGTTATTTACTCTGGTACAAGTTTTGTATCCCAGCATCCTAGCAGCAACTCTGGTGTTGTAGTAGGAGCGGTACCAGTACCATGGCCAGCCATCCTGACAAACAGTGCCGTAGCTTCCTGGAATATACATACCCGTGGTATACACTATACATTTTACAACACAATTTTGGGATATGTATTTTAGGAACGTATAAGTACTTTGTCACAGCAACAGCCGAGCTCGACGATATTATCCAGTATGCCAACTTTAACCAGACCATATATGTTTTTTTTTAATAAGAGAGAAAAAGTTATTTTCTGACACAATGCTCAGTGGAATGCTTTTTTATGGGGGCAATTTACCCAAATATGGCTAAAAATCGTCATTTTGGGTTTTTTATGTCTAGTTATTGGTTAAATATGTACCTAACGTTTAACAGAATAAGATTTTTTACATTTTGAACAAAAAATAAGTTTTTATGAGGATTCTGATGCTGCACACATCGGCACCGGTAGCCTGGTCTATGCCCCGCCTTCGTTGGCATGGGTAAACTCGGTGGGCGGGCCTAAGCAGCATCAGCACGACTAGAGAAACAATAGAGCAGGGATGCGCCATACCCCCTTTGTCATAAACAGCGATCGGCAAAGCATTGCCTATTGTTCAAGACCTTTATTTTAAGAGAAAATCTCTCACCTACATTTCTTATCTACGACATCGCCAATGGCACAGAGAAGTCTTTATTCAATAACCTACAGGGTACAACAATGCACATGTAGCTAATATCCTCACAGCACACATGAAAATATTATAGCCGGTAGTTTCGTATTCAACGGCATAGGCAATACCAAATAACAGCATAACACGAAATTCCGTTATAATTGACAAGATTTTTTGAGAAATTAAGATGTAAAATTAAGTGTATATATCTTGGCTGAAAATTATGTAGTTCCCATAGATCCAGATTAAAAACGTTTTCTACAGGCCAGCTGTGTAGATATCGATGTATACTAATGATCACTCCTCCTATGTATAGCAAAATAAAAAAGGCTTTTATGCTACTGAAAAAAGGCTCTCACCATAAACTTGGGCTCACTGCGACCTCTGCCTGGTGAGACAATTCACACCCAATCCTAATATAGAAGTGCAAATGAGGTCACATAATTACTCTTAAAATGTTTACTATAAGCTTTATTTGATTATTTTAGGGTCCAACATAAAGAACTTTGTATCAAAGTTTCACTTTCATGGAACCATGAATAATAACAAATAATTCATCGTCTAACCCAAAAAAGGCATAAACGTTACTCACTTTGAAAATTCAGCCATCACTGGTTCTTTAATCTATCTCCAACAGGTATAAGGTTGTAAAAATCATTATAATCTTCGGTATAGAGCAGCTATTGTTTATTTATTTATTTTATTTATTTATTTATTTATTTTTTTTTTGAGCGACTTTGCTTGTCACTGAACATTATAAAAGGGGGATACACCCTACTGACACTAAAATAAGCATTAAATAAACCGTTTTCCAATTGTGTTCCAAATGTCATATCACAAATGTCAAACTATCATGGAATCACATACATTTTTCAGTCAGCAACAGAAAACCCTGTTATGTTGCACCAATATGCGTCACGCAGTATTAGCCATGTCGCCAATTTATAAAAAACATGCTTACGTCATACATTAATTCACTATGACTGAAACACTACAAAAATATCGGAACGTGATATAAAATTAAAATAATATGGCCAGGAACATATACGTTACAGGCACATAGGTTACCATTTAGGCGTTTTACATTATGATTAGACAATGTAAATATAAAAGTGAGACAGCCGTGGATTTTTGTTCTATACACAATAATTTTCATATGCATCGGGTTTGGGTGTTTAGCTTCATGCTATAAGTTGCTTATAAATCTAGACGGTAGAATAAACTTATATTTGATTTTATAAATTACAAAGTACAACAGAAAGGCACGCAATGGTTGCGCAAGGGACTTCCTGTCCCACTCATGTCCAGTTTAAGCTCTGGAGACACTCTTTCTCCTTTCTCCTTCCCCTAAACAAAATGGAACAATACGCTTTCTTAAGAAAATATAATAGTATACATGTGCAGCATATCATCCTGGTCTCCAAATTATACCAGTTATCTGTATTTATGCTTGCTAAAAAAAGGACAGCCAACATTTTCTTCTCTTCCTTCATATCTCAAAGAAAAAATTAAACAGAGAAAGATATATATTTTTAAAAAAGCTTTTAAAGGTACACGACTAGTAAAAATTATATATAACAAAAACAGCGATATGTGACAAGGTCCAGCTATTTGCCATCCATGCTACAGATTATGGTTAAATTGATTTTGCGTAATATTCTATTATTGCAGCGTGATGCTAAGTAAATATCATTATTCCTGTGCATTCCCACCATCCTTACACACACACAAACGCACACACACATACATACACACTTTAGTAAATTCATAGATATACATGTACCAGTGTTATGGGTAAGGTATAAAAGCTGTATTTCACCTGACTGAAATTTAATGAAAACACCACGAACAAGACTTGTGAAGATTCTTTTGTCTATAGCTATTTATATTAGTTTGATCTTACCATCCAATATTTCATCTGCTTGCAGTCAGATTTCATCAGGGAATGAGGTTGTGACAGGTATGACAACCTGTCACCCCCTCTGGTGTGCTATTTGCTCAGATCCCCCCCCCCTTGCCTGCCCCTCCCTTAGAGATAGAGAAGGAAAAAATCAGAGTGGCTTTTAGAAACTGTGGTTACCCGGAATGGGCTATAAAAGAAGGGGAAAAGAAAGGAAGAGAAAAACAACAAAGGCCCGAGAACATGACTGAAAAAGAAAAACCCAAAGGATATGCAGTACTACCTTACATGAAAGGGGTTAGTGAAAAGCTAAAAAGAGCATTCAGAAAAAGGAATGTAGTATTACACCATAAGGCAGGACAGACACTAAGAGGCATCCTAGTATCCCCAAAGGACAAATTAGACCCAGGAGAACAGTGTGGAGTTGTATACCAGTGTGAGTGTCAGGTGTGTGGAGAGAAATACATCGGAGAGACAGGACGTTCCTTAACTGAAAGAATCGCTGAACATCAAAAATCGATCAAAAAACATGATAAAAAATCTGCCCTCAGCCAACACCAGGAACAGACAGGGCATTGTATAACATCAACAACCATAGAAGACATAATAATCTTGGAAAGAGAGCCACGAGATCTACACCGGAAAGTTCTTGAAGCAATTAACATCCGCTTACATGGGGCCAAGTTGAATCGGAATGATGGGACTGAGCTACCCAACCTCTACCTACCACTCCTAAGGGAGGGGCAGGCAAGGGGGGGGGATCTGACCAAATAGCACACCAGAGGGGGTGACAGGTTGTCATACCTGTCACAACCTCATTCCCTGATGAAATCTGACTGCAAGCAGATGAAATATTGGATGGTAAGATCAAACTAATATAAATAGCTATAGACAAAAGAATCTTCACAAGTCTATTATAATAACATAGCTAATGAAACTGTTCTACACCACGAACAAGGGTTTTATCTAACTTCTAATAATACAACACGAAACGGTAAGTTGATACAACCTGATGGCAAGAAATAAAGGCTAAAAACCAAACGAGTTTCACAAGCTTACCTCCGAACAAAAGCTCTAAACGCCCTACGTGACTTGAGGTGAAGTCTCCCGCAAGGCGAACGCCGTCAAACCAAATGGGTGTGCTGTCGCGGTGTGCTGGAATATTGGGTGTATCAGCGGCGGTGAAACGAATTCGTTGACCAGACTGCCCTCTGGCTACCAGTCTTCCCCGGACACTCAAGGTCACCCCAGGGTCAAACGTAACAGTCACGCCAGGCTCTACCGTAAGCGTGATGCCCGGGGGAACGATAATCGAAGAATTGACGTAGAACGGTTGATCACTACGTCGTAACGTCAAATCCGCGCTCAGTGAGGTGTCAATGACGGTGTCAGCGTTGGAAAAACTGAGACAAATCGTGAAAATTAAAGTAAAAGACAAGAGTGATTGAACGCCCACTCCGGCTAGATCCATCTTTCACTGTGAGCTAAAGGTATCCTATATGAACGCCGTCAATCACTAACGCTGACTGGTAATCATAATAGAAGAATGGAAGAAAAGAAAACATTTCCACGCGATAAACATTTACACCCGATAAACTTGGTCACGTGCCACGTGCCACGTGCTGTCAAACTCAGCTGCATTGTCTACCTGTTAGATGACTTTTCTGGCTTCTGATAAAAGTTTATGCTCATTCAAATCTCATACCCGAGGGGTCTATATCCTCTTGAAGCTGTGTAAAAAACCATTTCCCGTCTATTCAATTCTTTAACAAGCATTTAATTATGGTTATCCCAAGTTGTATAAAACACTGCATTTGAATGACTTAAGGGTACTGTTGATTATTCCATATGAGGTCCATGTTATTTGTGAAATTCAATTTATTTTATTAAATCGCTGACATCCCGTCTTGCGTACTTTTATTAAACTGAGGTAAACAATGCCTGTTACCTTTACAACCATCCATCTACCTCTTAATTAAAGGGTTAAATGGCATTCAATTCTCCTGTAGCCATTGTCTTGCGAGTATCAAACGCACTCTCGCTGGCGATATTTATCTCTGGTAAAAATCTACCTGTGCGTTAGTTTCAAAGGGCAGTTATCGCAGACCTGGGGGTACTAGATAAAATCTGAACACCAGGTTTATTGAGAAGCTAGAGAAACAAAACAAGATTTTTTCCTGCACCGCTTCATAGGAATTTTAACACGGACTTGATCCAGCTCAGACCTCCAAACTAACAGGGTGACATGGGCAATTTTCACAAACAAATAATAAAACCATATTTCAATTAGCCCTCTTTTAAATAAAAGAGGGGATTTAAATCAATATTAAAAAAACTGTAGCTTCATACTTAAAAGAATTGGGTATCTCCCGCTTTTCATAATATACTAAGTTATGTACAATGAACTAAGTTATCAGAAGTGTTCTTTTTTACAATCATCATTCTTTTAAAAAATCCGTATGTGCCTTTCTTATATCCCTTACCAGGTTAAATCTCCGTGCATAATTTAAAATATACTTACGTACGTAAAACTGCACATTTAGTAAACACATTAAAGTGATGATTTTTTCCATGCTGCTAGTAGCAAACAATGCTATTTTACCTTGATCTGTTACATGTTCTTGGGTTTGACAAAGCTTACAAATTTCCAAAAAGTTTTGCTATAAGTTTTGATATAATCTAAACTACCTGAGGTGACCATGATCTCGATCATCGCAACTATTGTCACCAAAGTTATTAAGTAAGTCACGGAAGTCCGTCGCAGACAAAGAAAAGATTGTCAACGAGTGCTGCAATTTTGGTAACTCCCACGGCAACACACTGAGGCATAACGAAAATTGCTCAACTCCGTTCAGCACAACTTTCGTTAACTTCTCTGTCTGTATGTACCATGCAGCTCAGTTGAGTCTCAGGCCCCGTATGCACAAGACATCTTAAGTGTATTTTTTTAAGAATTTCCCTAAGAATTTCCTTAAGTGATCATCCTTAACATAAGTGGTATGCACAAAGCATCTTAAGATGAGAATTTTCCCAAATATCTCCTTAACTTTTAGGTACCTCATTGGGTCTCTTAAGTGGAAATTTTGTCCTTAGATTCAGTGACTGTACAACACAGTGACATTCATTTGTGCCAGTCAAAGCTGTGCAGCAACATTATTTCTCTATGTCTCTTATTATTGCTGTTTATCGTGAAGAGTGAAGAAGTGGATGAACTGGAAAGGGCAGCCTGGAGAACCTCTTTGTGAAGGGTGTGAATTTCCACTACTGTATCTGAAGTATCAACTACTTTACGCTTCCGGATAACTGGAACTATTGTTTCATTTGGAGTAGGACATCGACTTGATTTTCAAAGAGAACTGTATAGTACACGATGGCTGCTTAAGGAAGACTAAAAGTTACTCCAGACCAACCTTACATTTTAATGACTCCTCAGCCGAAAATAAATGAAATCTTTAAGCAAAGGCAGAATCTAGAAATGGCTGATTCCTTTGCTAAGAGTGTTTGTTAAGTGATTCCTTTCAAGTGAGATAAAGACAGGTCCTGAAATACAAAGTTCGTATAAGGTCGACTTTTAGTCTCCCTTAACGCTAAAGGGAGATTCTGGAATACGGGCCCAAATCTTTTCATTCATTTTATGAACATTTCTTAGGTTGATGATGCAACTCGAGGATAGAGAATGCTAATTTCATTAAACAAATTATTTTCATGGAATACAAGTACAGGAAATTTAATTTAAAATCTGATCAAAGAATATCCCCAGGTAAAGGTGGGGTAAACGGATGATCTCACTCTCAGGTAACCCTTTGATGAATTAACTGTTAATTGCTTCATTATCCTCCCCCCTGCCCTTGATTAAGTAAACTTTGAATCAAGGTGCGTCTCTAGGGAGAGGTGGGATAAACAGATTCTCTTGCTTATCCTAGAATCCCTTTGATTATCTGTCACCTTTAATTGCTTGACTACTACCCACCTACCCGCTACCCATCGCACTGAAAATATTCATAAAATATCCGTTTACCTGTTCATCTGTTTTTCCCACCTTTGCCTGGAGGATAGGTGGTTACACTTTGATTAGATTATTAATAATACTTTCTGTATTTGTACTCAACGAAAAAGGTATTGTTATAAAGTAATTTGCTTAATGATAAAGTCGTATTATCACACAAAAAATATTAATAAATTGGATGAAATCTTTTGAACTGAACACTAATTTACTTAATATTTGTATATAGATATAGTTTTCTTGGAGGGAATCATCGGGGGAGGAGATGTCCTAGGGGGAAATGTTGGGGGGTCCTAGAATCGCGGACGGGTTACTTAAGCTACATGTATATATATAACGCATACGCCGTATTATTTTGGTCTTAACACCCGCGAAAGTCTGTTTTTTTTTTTTTTTCAATTTCAAATATTCGTTTTTCGAACGCATTTAAACAAGCACTGTTACCTGCTGAAGTGTAGTAAAATGATCGTATTTTCTTACGTTCTTACGTTACAGAGTCTGATAAAAGATAAATAAATAACTTAACAATAAACCACTATGTGTAATTCGCCTCAAAGAGTGATTAATAGACTGAAATAAAAGATCGAAATGTACACTTCTGCTGTTGCTGTAAGAGCAACAAACTGGAGTCCAAAATAAATTGCATTAACTATTATTCGTTTTGCTCCCCCACGCGGTTTGATATTTCTCTTCCTGGTTGATGTATACAACGGTGTGTGGGTATTACTTATAGTTGACAGAGCAGCTTGAAAAGAGGGCTGAATACACACTTCATCGTGCTTTTTATTCTTTGTAAAGTGACTCAAGGGTTTTATAGGCATCATTCTATGAGGTTTAGAATAGCTATGAATTCCAAAGCATATCAGTACAGGTGCGCATGCGAATCAAGAATTATTTGAAGGGGGTAGGTTTTTTCGGAATGCCAGGCTTCAGATACAATGCCGATGCTCGCCCCCTTGGCGTGGGATTCGTTTTTGTTCAGTTGCGAACTAGACGAGTACCACAAGCGGTGAAAATAATCTGTTTCTGGGCCTTTAACGGCTGAACCCTATACACCCCCACCACCAGCATTTTAATAACCTACGAACCTGGTACCGGTATGTCTCTAAATTTTCAAAAAAAAAAAAAAAAAAAAAAAAAAAAAAAAAAACTTAGTTGGATAATGAACATTATACCAAAATCACAGCTAAATGTTTCGCTTTCAAGTCTAGTGGCTATTTATCGCTTGGGTTATTTGGCTGGCAGTCGTCTTTAAACAGATTCTAACTTTTCTTCCAGACAAATCGATCAAATGTGTTTGAGAAGAAAACAAGGTAACGTCAACAAAGTTTTTCATATTCTGGTGATTTCGAAAGTAATTCGAGAGTAATTGATAAATCTAATAAATTGAGCCGAACTTCACACTGTTCACTAGGTGAACACAAGGGCTGTCGTGATTGACCTTGATTCAGAAGACGATCCCGACGAGGTAAGGACGTAAGTAATTTACTTTTGGCGCGTAACCGGTGCGCAAACTGGCAGCGCCGAATCCGCGTACCATAAAGATTATAATGATAAGTAAAACCTTGAAAAAAGCCACTTCTTGTAATGACTCGGGGTCAGTTGTTGAATGGTACATGTAAGTGAGCGATTCTTGAATGACACCATTCATCAGTTATTACGTTCATTATGAACGTACAGGCTTTATTAAAGCACCTTTCCCATTTTATTTCATTTTTACATTGTCTTCTTTATCATATTACCGATGTTACCAAGCATTTGTAACCCATTTAAGTCAGGTAAAATATGCAGTAAATTTATTGGAGAAAGATTTTTATTGAATACTAAAAAAACATAAATACATGAATGTTGTTTTAACTGCATTGCAAATGAAAGAATTTGAGAAGCACTTAGTTGGAATTAATTGTATATATTATTTGGGTACTTTTGTAGTATAGGCCTACCCCCCTCCCACCCTGTAACTTTCTGTAACTTTCACTTTTCAAACAGTTTTTTACTTTGTCTTGTTCATCTATGCTAAAGCTGTTGAAATAAAATGCTTTTGTAATTACCTGTGGTCTTTTTATTAGTTTTAATCACGTTTAATTCAGCCCATTGAAATACTATGTGAAAATCTACAATGTACAATGTACCTGCAGTCAACTACTTGCGTTTTTGTTTGCTAACTCTAAGGTAATTTTATGTCAACATAAGATTGATACATCGTGTACTTGGACTTCCTCTGTGAAATTATTATGAGCTACTTGTTCACATAAAATTACCTTAGAGTTAGCCAACGAGTTAGAGTAAGCATACTTCAGTTAAATTAAAATACTTGTTCTTCAGTACTGACTGTATTGACTATTGTGCATTTTGTTTCTGTCAAATGGTTTTGCTATAATTTTGTATTAATAGATATTTGGTAAGGTGCATATATATATTTATTATTATTATTATTTTAATTTTATTTATTTAATTGATTTTTTTTTTTTTTTTTTTTTTTTTTTTTTTTTTTTTTTTTTTCAATCCAAATTTGATTCTTTGGTATCAAGACAGCACTGGTATTATGACTTTTATTTATGAAGTTTGAAAGAACACAACATACAAAAATGTCTTGAATTATTAAATTTAGTTATATATGCACTGTATCATCATAGTTCTGTCGATTTTATGAGGACCGGCTGGTTTATGGTAGGACGGGTAACTTTCAAGAGTAACATGTCCTACTGCCTGGTTGAATTTTAGGAGGAGTTTCCAACCCTGCTTTAATATTTAAAATGATGTTTGTTCAAGAGTAAATTTACTCTTGTTTATTCATAAGGCAATCCGCCTATATAGAAAGAGTATCTAAAGCTACTAAGCAAAACGACGTAGCGCAACCCCCCTCCCCAAACCCCCACCACACCAGGCTCACACACTCAAACCGCGGTTTTAAAAAATTATTTTACAATTGCAAATCTATCACAAGTGATTTAAAGACGGGTTGACACACTTTAAGCGCTGATAGATTTTTAAAAAAATACTATAAGACTATATACACCACTTACAGTTTTTAAAAAATTATTTTACAATTGCAAATCTATCACAAGTGATTTTAATCACTTGTGATAGATTTTTTAAAAAATAGTGACTATATACACCACTTAGAGTTTCGACTTACAAGAGAACAACTTTAAGCGCTACAGTTAATATACTAACCACGTTCTCATAACAAATTAAATCGCAAAAAAAAAAAAATAATAAAATAAAATAAATAATAATAATAATAATTGAACTTCGCATCAATTTAACATCTTCAAATATTTCTTTTAAAAATTCGCTATATTTTTGTGTCGGTCTTTTTGCATATTTCTCAATCTGTAGCATAATGTTTACTTTTCACATATTGTGCCCTAAATTGTCATCACTTAATCTAGGAGGGCAAAGCACTTTACAGCCCCTCCAGTCTCGACAACGACAACCTTTCCATCGGGGGTGAGGGCAACATCCTGTGGGAACTTCAACCCGTCTTCTTTGGTAAGAAGAAACTTCTTAAACACACCATCTGGAGACAGTAGATGGAGGCGATCGTTTCTGAAATCGGCTAATATGATATCACCGTTTGCCAAGCAGCACATTCCCCTTGGTTCGTTCACCTGACCATCACCACGGCCTTTGGCTCCGTACGTGAACTTCAGCACACCGGATACGGGGTTGTAGGCGAGTACTTTGTCAGCTCCGGGATGTGACACAAGGATATCACCGGTAACGCTGACTGCGACATATTTTATAATATCACCTTGCAGTGGATCAGGTAAACTGTGAGCGACCTGCCCATCCTTGTCGTGGATGTGTATCGCTTCCTTTCCAGCAATGACGTACTGACCCTTACTGTTCACTGACACTGCAAGCGGCTGTGGGCTGTGGAACCCAAATAGCAGTTTGCCTTCCCTACTATAGATCATCACCAAGTTATCAGACTCCGACCGCGTGACAACGTTTCCATCTTGATCCAATGCAATGCCTGCGAAAAAGTCTTTCTTCAACATCGGGTTTGTTATTGTCGCCATCAAACGACTGCCAACATCGTATACAATGATCTTGTTCCTCATTGTATCCTTTTCAGACCACACACCAACGTATACGCGTCCTTCAGCATCTACAGCTACATGCGATAGTGTTTCCGGAGGATCATTAGTTAGGTCTACGCAGAATGACAACAATAGTTCCTTATCCCTGGCATATCGCACTTCACCCATACACTCACGAAGGACAGTTGACATATTGTTGACATGCTTGGCATCTAGGGTTAGCTTCTTGGTGTTTGGAATGATCGGTAACTTCATCTCTGTTAATTCCTTGCCGCGCCTCAGGCAGTTGGCCATGGTATGCAAGACTTCTGGGTCGGAACCGTGAATAATCAAGGCGTTGGTAAATTCCTTAAAGCCCACAAAATATCCCTGGATCAGTTCTAGTTCCTTTTCCAAGGGGTCCAGAACTTCTTTCATCTGACTGGTGGCTTCGTTAACTTCTTTCCGCATGCGGTCTGCATGTACTTGAACCAACTTAATGAGCTCTACCTCACGTTTTTCAATCGCTTTCCCGAGTTTCTCGCTCTGACAATGAAAATCTTCCTTGCGTTCCTTCACGTCTGAAAGAAGACTTGCTACTTTTGTCTCTTTCCTTTCAATCTCTTTTTGTTCGTTGACCAAGCGATCTCTTCCACCTTTAGCAGCTGATGGTATGTACTCGCAATCGTGATCTTTGTGTTTAAGAGAAACACATGTTCCACATATGAACTTTTCGCAGGCACAACAGAATACTTCTGCCGGGGTCTTGTTGTCATGGTTACACAGAATTTGTTGGCGAGAGCGAAATTCACTGGCGTATGCCTCATCATTGAGTTCTTTCAATGGGATTAGCTGGTGGTCACGACTTGCACCGTGACGTCGGTGTTCTGCACTGCAGACGTCACACATGTTGTCATCACACTTCAAACATCTTTTTGTGGCACCTGCATCTACTGGGGGCTCTTTAAGGGCGCATGTCTCGCATTTGTCCTGCGTCTTGGTCACTACCTCAGCGAGGTTATCAAGAAGACGGCTTTTGTCCAAATCTTCCTTCCCCTTTTCTGGGAGCTCGCATTGCCTCCTACAGATGGGGCATGGGAAACGGCGGTTACGGTCGAGTTTGACCTTCACGTGCCCCTCAAGGCACCTCTTACAGAAACTGTGGACGCAAAGAAGTATTTTAGGTTCTTCATACCTTTCCTCACAAATGATGCATGTCAGGAAATCTTCTTCGGGGATTTTTGAAAGAGCCATTGTGTTTGATGTAGGCCTTCTGTAAATAGAGAATGAAATAAGGTTAATGGGGAGAGGCGTATGTAAAATTAATTATGGAGCTTGTACATGTAGAACAAGTTCGTCGATTGACTTCTGTTAGCCGTTTTCATAGCGTTTTCCATTTTCAGCAACAGGGTTACAGAAAATTCGTTCTTTATCTTTGCTACTCAGACTTATACTTGTACCGCTTGATGACATAAAATATTTTCAGTTTCGTATGATGCTTCTTTTTGTTACCCTCTACCAGATTATAATATTTGTGCTCTTTTCTCTAAGTTAAACAATGGCCATGAATTATCCAGTGAAAACTCTATCTGTGGCCCTGGTAAAGGGTAACCTTTGTATCATTTATAATGTAGTTTAGCTGTCAGCCGAGCGGGCACTAAAGTTAATTACCCCTTAAAACAACAACACAGGTGTGGGTTGGAAGCTTTTTATTATAGCTTCGAAACTACGCTACGTCACTACATCTACAGTAATAAAATAACTAACAAAATCTCAATAATCCAGTCCTAGGGACGCACCCCAGCACCCTAGATGTGAAATAACCTGGTTAAGAGGAAATTTACATTAGCTCTTTAGAGAACATGCCAATTATGATAAATAATAAGTGAAAGTGGCAGGGAGGTGGGTGGGAGAAAACCTCGCCATGTTAATTAAAGCACGCCTGCTCTGCATAAAGGCTTGCAACTGACTGAATTAAATCACTCAATGACCGGAAAAACGAGGCTTAAGTGTCCCGGACGCAGTGACGTAACGTAGTTGTCCCCACCTGTGTGTGTTTTAAATAGGTCTTAAAAGATAAGCCCTTACCTAACAGCTTGTAGTAGGCGGGACGGACATTTAAGCCGGATTATCTGACAGTAATCTAGTGAGACTCCCCACGGGGATAGATCGATCTAAAATCTATGGGAATGCGCCCTAAGTATTTTACTGAGGTGATTCTAACAAGGTGCTAGCGTTACAGTGCTCTGGAGCCTTCATTGTGCCTGTCACTCTCATCTGAAAATTTCAAAATGGCGACCTTTTTTTGTGAAAAAAGACATTCGACATGCAGTGAACGGAATGCTGACTTGTCGATTAGAAAGTCTTCATTGAGGTTCAATTTCAAATATTTCGATGCTGAGCTATTTAATGACCCTCGCTGTAAACCAACATAATAGAATAGATGGCAATTAAGTCGATATTATATAGGATTTTTTGACAACACATATATTTTTCCTTTTTTTTTATTAGTAATTATAAACTGGCATATTAAACTCACACTATTGTGTACGGATAATGTTATATATACGCATTCAGGTATTTTTATGTTTTTTTTATAATGGCATCTGAGAAAAAATACGAATAATCCACCCAATAAAATTCATTTAGTTGTCCATTTTATTCAGCATTATGTACTAGTTAATTCATTCATCAATATGTCTGTCATAAAACAACCGGTAGGTCATTAACAAATCATACCTTAAGTGGCAGATATAGGGGAGTGCTGACCCCACCCCCTTCGGTTTCTGAAAAATATGTCACATCAATATTCCCTTCTTGAAATTAGAATTTTGACTGAATCATAGTTCTAAACCGTACCAAAGGACATCGTTTGCCCACCAAAACACCAAAAAATAATAATAATCGGGGCTTTGGAGCGGGCCTCGAACCCCAAGCCGAGGGGGGCATGGTCGACTTTGCATCCGAGGTCTGTCGTTCCGGACCCCCCCTCCCCCCCCTAAAAAATAATCCTGGATCCGCCCCTGTACCTAGGTCAAGCAATCGATTTGTAAGTCTATTCTGGGATAAATTTATATCTCAAGATAACAGTCCGACAAGCCCTGTATCAGTTATTATGTTAATATCAATTAATGTAAGGAGTAGAGCAAACTTGAGGATTAATGTAGTAAACAAAAAAATCCCCTCTTTAGATATGTTGGACATCACCAACAAAACCATTATGAAATCGGCAAGTTCAGTTATGCATAAACAATTAATTTCGACGATCACATCATGTTGACATAAAATTGACATATCTTACCTCGTAGAAATGCAGGTAAGCAAGACCTTGCATTTAAACGGATAAAAATCGCCTTGGGTCCATTTTCACTTTCGCATCTTTTGTTGTGATTGAAATTGGAGACCATTTTATAAACCTTGCATTATTAATTTCATAACAATTATCACAATTAATGATGACCTTTGAATGCCAAAGATGAAATCTTGCATATCGTTAAAAATCAAATTGTGCCACGGGTGAAATTTTCCAGGTATTTTACTTACCAAAAGCTCGAACCACACCCTTCACAACGCAGTTTCAGACGCAATTAACTGTGTAGTGGCGACTTGCCAGTAAACAGAAAAAAACCCGTCGTGTATTTTTAGTCTGTAACCTCACGTAGTGAGTGGATGGGGACACAATGAACTTATTCTATTTGTTGAAGTTGAATAAAGGTTTTGGGAGTTAAGGGTTTTGGGTTAAATGTAGTTGAATTTTACTGAAGTTCTCATTTGAAGTTTTCATTATGACTTAGGTAGGCCCTAAAGTTAAAAGTTAGCTTGAAGATTAATGTAAACTTCCGAAGGGTAGTGACATCACCAACAAAGTCATATTATACACACGGCAGAGTTCAATTAAACGTAGTAAATTAATTACAACAGTCGCATTATATTGACAGAAAATTATCTTACCTTGCAGAAATATAAGTAACCTTGTCAGGGGGGGTTCGGGGGGTTCGAAAGAACCGCCCCTTTTGCTGGGAAAAGGTCCACTCTGGATAAAACTTTACCTAGGTACATGAAGTTTTCATGGGAAAAGGTCCACTTTTTCAGAAAAAGAACCCCCCTTTTGAAATTGCTGGCTACGGGCCTGCTTGACCGTGCAGTTATAACGTTAACATCGTCTTGGATCAATTTTCACTTATGGTTACACGAATGGTTCTCTGTTATTGTGATCAAAGTTGCCATATGACTGAAGTAGAGACCATTTTGTTAGCCTCGCATTTTAAATTTTATGACAGTTATTGATGAACTTTGAATCTCAGTGATGAAATTTTGATACCACTATTAATAAAATAGTACTATCGGTAAAGATTTCCAGGCATTGTACTCATCAAAGACTTTAACCACACCCTTCACAACCTAGTTTGTTTTGTTTAGTTTATTTAAATGACCTGTGAAATGAACAACTTATTTTTAACACTTTGTTGGCCTTTGAATTTACAGAATCGAACTTCTGCATCATTCATACGCTTCCAAAGATCCGTGAACTTATCACATCAATAGGGATTAGATATTTTAACCTTCTTATTGAATTTTTTTATCATTTTTTTTAATTTTAGATAAAAACAAAGCTTCTGTAACTTGCAGATATAAAACAGAAAAAAACCTTCGTATATTTTTAGTCATAATCCCCAAGCTTTATCGACTGGCCAACCAGCTTGTGCCCTCAATGTTTATATGACAACAATTTTTTTTAAAAAAATGTCGTGGAAAATATTTTAGTAAATTTACTTAAACCAGGATGAGTATGAACTATTCATGTTCAGGTTACTGCATCATTCTTCAAACCAAAATAAGGTATTATTTCATTTGTATAGAGACATATTAACACATACATAGTTAAACCATTGTATATAAACTTATACTTTCGAAGTGATAAAATTAATTTGTAAATAATCTTCATTTGCTGTTAAAAATAAGGTTATGCAGAAAATTTAATATGATAACACAACAACATAAATATTGTACTGATTTAATCTTTACTCACTTTCTGACCAATAATTAAATTAATACTGCATAAGTTTCACTTTAATTGTGTAAAATTAGGAAAAAAAGTGCCAAAAATAAGTAGCTAAAATGCTAATACAATGGATGAAAAGGTTTTCCAATGGTGGAAGTAACCATGCAATCTTGTGTACTTGGTACACTTTGTCTAGAAGTATTGTCAATAATTCATAGTTTTTTTAAGTAAATATAAAAGCAAATACAAATAAATGCTTGAAAGTAAAAATAATAACAAAAAATGTGGGACATTCATCAATTGTAAAAATTGTTCATATTGTAAGTTTTTGCTGTATAATATGAATAAATGTTTACAATGACTTTTTCTTTTGTATTTCATTTACAAAGTTCAGACAATGAAAGCTACAGTGAAGCCTGGTGTCCTTCTTATAAGTATTGGATATCAATTAAGTTAAAGCTCAAAACATACAGTGAAAATTCAGGTGCTTATACTGGATAACAAAGATGGTAGTAAGACAATAAAGGAAACTGTACTGTAATTGTATATTTAATGATAATAATGAACTGTAATAAATTATCACATTGCTCTCTCTCTCTCTCTCTCTCAGAAAATCTATCATACACACTACAGCTATATAATATCAGCTACATATATTTGGTTAACAAAACAACTCTACCAGTCTAAAACCATGCACAACATTTAAAACTGCCAGTGAGCACAATAATATTAAATTGAGATCTACAAATACACAAAACATTAAATCCACATACTGTTTGTACTCAATAATGATGTTATAATAAATGAAATTTAATATGTAGATGACCTCTGCTCTGCTTCTCTTCCATGTGAGAATTTAGTTCAAATTTGTGTTATTTTGATCTGTCTAATTTACTGGAGAAGGGAATCAATGTCTGCTTCTTTCCTCTTCCTGAAATGAAAAAAAAAAAAAAAAGAAATAATCTATTACAGAAGTAAACAAGGAATATCTAAAAATTAGTTTTTTTTTCAGTAAAACTTGCTTAATTATAGTAAGGTGATTTTGTAAATAATATGTAATTTTGCTTAGCATGTTTATCTTAATTCAAAGATACCAATTATAACATGCCCATATGTTATCACTATGATCATTATATATAATATGTTATCAGATACCTACTTATTACACTAGTTAACAGATTCAACTAATACTACCCTTAAAATGCAATTACATGTACTTTCATATATAGGGCTAAAGGAGCATAAGGAGAAATCACTTTCTCTGTAGTCAAAGGAGAGATCAAGATGGACAGACAGGAGCATTTTAACTTGGAGATATTACCACCAACCAAGGTCTCTTTTTCAAGAAATATCAAGCTAAATTTCTTACTTTCTCGAAGACTTGGGTCGGCCTGTCTTGGGTCGGTCCTTCCCAGCAGTCTTAGGTCTCATGGCTTCTTCTGCGCTCTCTGCAGAGTAGGCTAGGTAGACTTGAGAGAGGTCAAAATCTGCAAGCTGGGAAAATTATTAAAAAGAAGAATATAGTAATATGTGATCACATTAACGTTCTTCTGAACTCAAATCAAAGCCAATTTGTACTTTGTTATTAAAACCCTTCAAATTGAATTTTAATAATAATTATCACTATTATTATTTTAACAATTATCTTAAGTATATTTATCATTATGACATGACATTTACAAAATGTAACACCTCTGTGCTTGTAAAAATTGTTTTCAACTTCTTGTTCATCATTTCATTATATTTTGCAGCAATCAAAGAAATACAACGAATATTTATGTCTGGTTTTATGTAAGCTGCACTGAGGATACTGTGTGCGACTTTCTAAAAGACAAATTATCATTACATCTTTATTTACTTTATCTTTTTCCTTCTCAGGCAGTGGTGTCTGTTTCCTCATATTATTCCCAGTGTAGGCTACACACTTCAGTTGCCACTCCCCTATATCTTCATTCCAGTGCACATACTGCTCTATCATTTCCTACAATAAAATATATTTCACGTCACATGAATCCTCAAATATGATATTTAAAATATTGGTTGACTGAGGACCATTTCAAAACTTGTCTACATTGGAGTTTATGAGGTTACACTGCTTTAGGTTACAGCAATTTCTTTTTATTACCTAACATGACAATTAATACAATATTGTTGCAGAATGATGCAACTGTTACTGATATGTACAGTCACTTGAAAAATAAATAAATAAATAAATAAATAATACAACTTTTTAAAAAGTATTACATAAAAATTCAAAATACTTATAGCTTTACAATAAAATACCTGATACTCTGGTGGAATGAAACTGTTGATGATAAGCATCTGTAGTCGTAACTCACGACTGAGTTGGCGGACATTTTCTAACAGTCCTTCCATCTCTCGCTGATGTTCCTGTTGAAGATCAGCAATCTGGAAATATCATAAACAGTATTTAGTGAGTGCAAGTAGATACATGTACACTATTCAGTTCAAAGATAGAAACTGTCGATTGTCGTAATTCTTTCTTAAACAAACGTAATCACTTACACTAGCAGACATGATATTGGGTTGTTAGACTAAAGAAGAAAGAAATGTATTGGTAGTATCATGATAGAAAGCAGCCAAGAAACATAAAATTTTCAATTACAATAGGAGGGAAAAAAAATCCTATCTGCACTAGTTCCTTCTAACTAGTGACTAGTCCAACTCCAAATCTACTGCTCCATTGTCTGAACATGTTGCAGTCAATTATTTGCCAAAGCAATCTAATGGTACCAGGAAACTTTAGAGTCAACTGCGGCGCAGAATAATCTTATTTCACACTTCCAATGTAAAATGCCTTTCCCTGCAAAGCCAGTTTCAGATCTTACCTCTGATTTTGCCTGCATGAGCATTGTCCAAACCTTCTTCAGCTTCTTTGTCTTGCCTGCTGCCTCTTCCTGTAAGCTGGAATACTTCTCCTCTATGTCTAGACGCTCAGCCTTGAAAAATTGTAGAAATACAGGTAAAAATGAGGTTTAGAAAGCTCAGCCTTAACAAATAAATACAGGTAAGTACAGGTAAATCTATCTTTAGAAAAAGAATACATGTAAATTTCATAACTTCATGGATCGTTATTAAAACATGATTTAGATAAATTTTTAGGTCTTCAGAAAGAACTTTTAAGTAAAAAAGGGGGTGATTTGCATTATTTATAAATTTTGGGAGAATGTCTGCCTTGAAGTAAGAGAGAAAGTGGATTATTGACTAATCATTCCATGTTATATCTATAATGGTTCTTGAATAAAATCTAATATCAATCTTCACCCAGCCCCACCTCTCTCTCTTCAATGGCTTTCTTAAGAGCATCTTCTTTCTTCTTCCTCTCCTCCAGTTCTCTGGCGCTCTCCTCCAGCAGACGTTCCTGCTCCTCTGCCTTCTCCAGCAGGTTCTCTCCACCAACGATCACCTTCTTCTCCAGGGCTTGGAGGCGCTGGGCAAGTGCTTGCTGCTCTTCACTGAAAGGTAACAATGGTATTGAATACAAACATGCTGAAATTGTAAGTCCTAATCATAATCAACACAGTATTTGGGACAATTATTTAAATAATTAAAATTTAAATTTAAATTTTTAAAAGACTTAAGTGAAATTTAAATAATTTCACTTAAGTCTTTTAAAAATACTAAGTTATTAACAAACTGTGAAAATATATCTTAATTTTTCCCCCAAGTGAAAAAAAAAGAAACAGATTTGGAGAAAAGAATTTAACAGAGAATGGTGTAGTATTAACCTGTAAATGAGTAGCATATAATACAGCTAAATGTGGGAGAGAAATAGTCTTACCTTGCTTTCTTCAATTCAGCCTCCTTCTCTTCCAGGTCCTTCTTCACTTGATTTCTCTCTTCTTCTGCCATGTCTTTCTTTTCTTCTAGGATCTTTTTGTTTGCCTCAATTTCTGCCATCTTTTCCTTGGATATTCCTTTATTTCCACGTTTTCCTTTAAAAAGAGAAAATAAGTGCAGAATCCAATTTTCTGGGATCGTCTTGTTGATCCATTTTGTTAAGTGTTCTTTTTTTTAATTTTGAGAATAAAAAGAGACAATTTTTAAATGAACTTTGTATCATTTGTTTTTAGAAAAGGATATGCTAACTTTGTGATAAAAAAATAAAAATGTATATAATTCAGCAAAGGTAAACATTGTGTTCAATAACATAAAATGTTGTAAGCATAAAGAATATCAAATAAGTTCTAAAATACGATCCAGAAAATACAAACCTTTCTTCTTCTTCCTCTTCACCATTCTCTTCACTCCATCTTCCCCAATCACCTCTTCTTCCTCCGACTCCTCCTCTGACTCACTCTCTTCATCACCACTCCCTGCAAGGGAAAGAAAATATTTCATCTTTTTCTTTAATATCTTATCTTTTTACATTTTACAGTTTCTTACATGGTACCTGCATCCACATCCAGACACTTAACATATAGTACAAGTACTTGTGTTGAACATCATAAATTGTCTTTATAAACTTTTCTACATGCATCATATTAAATCATCATGAGATCTCACAAAGGAATCATTTTGACATTTTGGCCGCATTCAGAACAGTGGACTGACTAGTCCCCAGGTCAAATATGGAAACCCATTAAAAAGCTTGACCTGTAATCCACTCATAGGCACTTAATAGATTCCTCGTGGGGAAGTATTCGACTGGGTCAGCCGTATTTGACCCTCTGACTAATTAATCTACTGTTCTGAAAGCGGCCTTACATTAGCATGAGTAAATTGGGCTCTACATGTTTTTAACCATGTGTTGCAGAGGCTTATCTAATTGTAAAATCTCCTTTCTAACCAAAATAAGTCATTTAAGATGTGAAAAGATTACAGATACATAGGCCAGAGTAAAGTATTTTTGACAAACATTTTGCATGCCATCTTGAGGTCAGTATGTAAAGATACACCAAGAACTTGATGAATACCAGTACATTTAACACATGCACATCTCCTTTACTGAAAGCTCTTTTTTGTTATAGGTTTGAGAAAGATCACATCTATAACTTTAAGGTCAGTTTGCTTTTCTGACATAGTAAATTTGTTATTAGTAAATTTCAGCTATTAAATTATTAAATGAGTCAGTCCTTTAGATGAAAAACATCGTTTCAAATAGACAACTTTTCATCCGACTTTTTCAAAATGGCGGGTCCCTAAATTGATTAGAGACAGTTGGGTGACAGTTTGGGACAATTTTTGGTAATTTAAACGTGGTGTATGCACATAATTTATGTTTTTCTGGTTAGTTAAGCACGTGCACCATTACAATACAGCATTGTGATATTACATGTAAATGTATCAATCCTGTAAATTGATGTAAAACATCGTTTCAAATAAACAACTTTTCATGGGACTTTTTCAAAATGGCGTGTCCAAAATTTGATGACAGGGAACTCTCTTGGAATTTTTTTTTTTAATTTTTTTATTGCAATATGATGTTTCCAGAGCTTCGTTTAGGATATAGAGTTATATTTTGTAATGAATTCCGCACCTACTCATTTCAGGCTGAAGAGAATGCAAGTGAAAGATCTTTAGTTTTGCTGGCAGAGGTAGCCATAATTGAACAGTCAAAATGATTGTTTCCAGCAGCAACTTGATGAGGCACAAGGCTCTGTTTTCTTACCACCACTTACATTAAACTATAGTGCACAAGAGGTAACCATCGATGGTTTTAGATATAATTTCAGTCAAGCTATCAAGTACCTTAATACATAATCTACAGTAACCAGTTTCCCTATAACAGCTAGAGGTTGTGATTTATTTTTTATTAAGATTTTAGGGAATGTTTGTGTGTAAAGTTTTTTCATGTATTTATAACTCCTTGGTATAACTATTAAAAACTCTATTTTTCTAGGCTTGTTCAACATGACTGAGACCAGGAAGAACCATTTTGTCATTCCTTGATATGCAATTAATAACAGAAGTGCCTTTATCTCAAAATGCTGTGGCAATGAGCATCATCACAATTTTTGACGAACTTTTAAGGGCTAAAAATATTCTTGAGCTGTGCTGGCTGTTGCTAATGATAACATTTATTGGTAATCAGTGTACTTAAATTTGTCATATTATTTTAGGTTTGAACCACCAAAAGAAAGGTATATGCAGTTAAACAATACATTGTTTTAGTTTAATATGCAAGTTTTTGCACAGATGACATGGTTTGTAGACAAAAGTGCTATTTATTAAAGATAAATCAATTCAGATGCAAATATGAACTGATACTGGACCGCAGGTAAATTTGTAAAAATTAATTTTTGGCTAGAATTGAAGAGTGGTCTAAGTTTTAAAAGGGAATTTAGTGTTCTTTGGCTAATTGTCTAAAGTATAAAATAAAATAATCACCACATCAAAATAAAAACTAACCATTTTTGTATTGCTTTAATCACTGTTGGGTGTAACAATATTGACATATTTTCATTGCTGGTACTTTGTTTTAGATGTTATACAAGTTGCTCGAATGTTGAAATAAAGCAATAACAATCGATAAAAATATTTCTTTCATTTTTTCTTCTAATGAATTAAAACTATCAGTCTACTATTAGTTGGCCTCATGAAATAGACAAAGATATAAACAAAAATATGTATTAATGAAATTTTATTTAGAATCATACTAAGTGCAATAACTTATTTTCATTTCCCCAATTTTCCTGTTTAAGCTTTTCTCTACCTGGTATATAAGCAATAATGTGCCAAAAAAGAAAGAAACGAGGCTGGCATACGGAAATTGCAAGTACTACTGTTTTGTGTACACGGCTGTGAATTGAATGTGTCATTCCTAGATGAAGGTAAATTTCCTTTACACGCCTTTACACGACAAAAAGAATTTAAAATAAAAATGAGACTTCTACAGGTGCAAATTTTAGCGTTGAAGGTGGGTTTGTGAAATTGTTCTCATACATTCTTGTTGTGAAAATAATTTTTGTATAACTGATCGGCTCTAGATCAAATGGAGGTGTATCTCACATGATTTGAGTTTTATTTCTCAAAATGGTTGCGTCCAGGCTTGAAATCTCTTTCTACACCTTTCTGTAATCCCACCATGTTTTCTCTGTGAGATTATTAGCGACTTCACGAGGCTTTATCCCAATTGGCTGAAGCAACCCGTCTTTTGAATATGTATTAGGCACAAGCTCTCCCTAAGACCACAAGCTGGGTAATTATTAGGATTAAGCCCGTTACGAGGATAGGATGAAAGGAAACCCCTTGTTTCTACTCCTTCTCTTTATAAGGCTTCGTTCACATGCAATGTCTATTTTCTATTTTCTATTTTCGGTATGTCTTATGATCATGGTCTGTGCACTGAATATCCCGCCGCGTAATTACTGGCAGCGCGAGCCAGTTACTTATAGTAACTTATAGTAACTGGCTCGCGCTGCCAGTAATTACGCCGCGGGATATTCAGTGCACAGACCGTGATCATAAGACATACCGAAAATAGAAAATAGAAAATAGACATTGCATGTGAACGAAGCCTAACTTCTTGATTTATTCTGCTGTGTCGGACGTTGTGGGCCAGCCCAATGGTTCATTCACTCATTCTTTTCTGAAGATTGGTGATGAATATTTTGAGTGCTTAATTATTTACCCTCCTTCTTACAAGAGAAAGTAAAAAAAGGAGAGAAACAGAGACAGTGTCAATTAAAGGGGAAAAGAGTAATATAATACATTAATTAAAGGGACTCGCGGTGGAAGAAACGATCAAGAAGTTATAACTTCTTGCACTAACACATCTCACTGACTACTCGCACTTGTCACTGCTCCACGTGTTGCAGTTACACTCTTTGAGTAACTTCACCCAAGTTACACCCTCTCTTTATAACTTCTTGCTTCACCACGAAGCACAGATCCTTTACTGCTCGTTTTGGGAAAAGACGCAAGGTATGTCATACCCCCTAATTTCTCACATCAACATTTTCTAGTTATTTGGTTCAAGGGTTCAACTAATACTTTTGTTAAACTTAAATATATGCAATTATTTTTGTTTATGAGTAAATAATACACTATGCCTATACAAAATGAGCATCTACCTATATATCTATTAAGCAAAACGACATGGCGCACCCCCCTCCCTCCCCCCTTCACAAACACACACATCCACACACATCACCGGACCAGGCAAACACACTCACACGGTTCTGAGAAATTATTGCAGAAAAGCAAATTTATCACGTGTGATTTTTAAAAAAATAGTGACTATATACACCACTTAGAGTTTCAGTTTACGATAGTACAACCCAAGGGCTACAGTTAATACACCAAACACATTCTCATAACAAATTAAATCACTACAAATCGCATTAATTTTACATTTCAAATATTTCTCAAAATGCGGTATACTTCAGTGCCGGTCCTTTTGCACATTTTTCTCAATCTGTAGCATAATGTTTACTTTTCACATGTTGTGGGCTAAATTGTCGTCACTTAATCTAGAAAGGCAAAACACTTTACAGCCCCTCTCTCTTCGACAACGACAACCTTTCCATCAGGGTTGAGGGCAACATCCTGTGGGGATTTCAGCTCGTCTTCTTTGGTAAGAAGAAACTTCTTAAACACACCATCCGGAGAAAGAAGATGGAGACGATGGTTTCCGTCATCAGCCAATATGATATCACCGTTTGCCAAGCAGCACATTCCCTTTGGTACGTTCACGTGACCATCACCACAACCGTTGGCTTCGTACGTGAACTTCAGCACACCGGATACCGGGTTGTAGGCGAGTACTTTGTGGGCACCGGGATGTGACACGAGGATATCACCTGTAACGCTGACTGCAACATGTTTGAAAGCATTACCTTGCAGTGGATCAGGAAAACTATGAGCAACCACCCCATCCTTGTCGTGTATGTATATTGCTTCCCTTCCAGCAATGACGTACTCGCCCTTGCTGTTCACTGACACTGCGTGCGGCTGTTGACTGTGGAAATCAGATTGGAGTTTGCCTTCCCTGCTGTAGATCATCACCAAGTTATCTGACTGCGACCGAACAACAACGTTTCCATCTTGGTCGAATGCAATGCCAGCGAGACTGCCTCCCGTCAACTCAGGGTTTGTTATAGTCGCCATCAATCGCCTGCCAACGTCGTATACATTGACCTTGTTCCTCTTCGTATCCTTGTTACACCACACACCAACAAATACGCGCCCTTCAGCATCTACAGCTACATGCGATAGTGTTTCCGGAGGATCACTATTTAGGTCTACGCAGAATGACCACAACAGTTCCTTGTCCATGGCATGTCGCAACTCACCCATACACTGACGAAGTACAGTTGACATATTGTTGACATGCTTGACATCTAGGGTTAGCCTTATGGTGGATGGAATGCTCGGTAAATTCATCTCCGTTAATTCCTTGCCGCGTCTCAGGCAGTTTGCCATGATCTGCAAGACCTCAGGGTCGGAACCATGAATAATCAAGGCGTTGGTGAATTCTTTGAAGCTCACAAAACATCCCTGGATCAATTCTAGTTCTTTTTCCATGGGGTCTAGAACTTCCTTTTCTTGGATCATGGCTTCGTCCACTTCTTTACGCATTCGATCCCCACTGATTCTAACCAACGCAATAACTTCTTCCTCACGATTGCTAATAGATTCCTTGAGTTTCTCGCTGTGACGATATAAACCCATCTTGCGTTCCTTCATGATTGAAAGAAGACTTGTTACTCTTCTTTCTTGCTGACCAATCTCTTCTTGGGCGTTGGCTAAGCTTTCCCTTCCGCCTTTAGCAGCTGATGGTATGTACTTGCAAGCGTGATCTTTGTGTTCAAGACAAACGCATGTTCCACATATGAACATTTCGCAGGCACAACAGAATACTTCTGCCGGGGTCTTGTTGTCATGGTTACACAGAATCTGTTGTCGAGAGCGAAGTTCACTGGCGTATGTTTCATCACTGAGTTCGCCCAATGGGATTAACTGGTGGTCGCGACATGCACCGTGTCGTCGGTGTTCTGCACTGCAGACGTCACACATGTTGTCATCACATTTCAAGCATCTTTTTGTTGCATCTGCATCTACAGGGGGCTCTTTGAGGGCGCACGTCTCGCATTTATCTTGCGTCTTCGCTTCGTCTACCTTGTTGACTACCTCAGCGAGGTTAGCAAGAAGACGGCTTTTCTCCAAATTCTCCGCCCCTTTTTCTGGTAGCTTGCATTCCCTTCTACACATGGGGCATGGGAAACGGCGTTTTCGGTCGAGTTTGACCTTCACGTGCTCCTCAAGACACTTCTTACAGAAACTGTGGACGCAAGGAAGTATTTTAGGTTCTTCATACCTTTCCCTGCAAATGATGCATGTCAGGAAATCTTCACTGAGGATTTTTGACAGAGCCATTGGGTTTGATTCAGGCCTTCTCTCTGCAAATACAGAATGAAATTGGGTTAAAAATAGGATAGGTGTGTGCAAGAATGAATACACATGGAGACTGCAGAACTGGTCTGTCGATTACCGTTCTTTATACCCGTTATCACTTGGTTTTTCGCAAGACTGTTACAGAAGTTGTACACGGAAGTTTAAAAAAAGCTGCGCCTCGGCGTCAAAATTTTGACCTAGTGAATGCGAACAGAATAAGAAAAAATGTTATGAGACAGAATTATTGTACAATCATGACCAAATAAATGGACAAATAATAAGCTTCATAATTATTAAACATTGATTAAATTACGTTGGTGAGTAAGAAGTTTATGCTTCATGAACGTTTTTTAAAAGCTTACAAATTCAGTTTTAAACTGGTTATTATTTTACAAACCTTTGAGTTTGTTTTAACAATGGCCTATGGCTCTGTTGCGCGCAAAGGATTGTGGTCTACAGGGTTGCTACTTAATATGGAATATTTTTTATCATTGTTATTTTTGAGTGCTGATTAAATTTTTTTTGGCTTGAGTCATTAAAAAAGTATGTCACTGAGTGGTTATAACATCCAGTCTTCTGTTGTGAGATATTTTGGTCAATAATATCAAATCTGACATAAGATGACATTCAAAAGAAAGGAACACCCCCAGAAAACCATATCAACAGTTAGATGTCAGTGTAAACTTTAAGATAAGATATTAAAGAAAATGATAGCCTCCGGACAGTGATATGTTTCACAGTCAAAGAACTCACTACAGTAAATCATGAAAAGTCAGTAATTGCGGGTATGACCTCCAGCAGCCGCTTGCAGCACCCTCATCCTACATGGCATACCCTTTGACACGTTTTTAGAGTTTGGGTGGGGATATCATTCCACGCAGTGATATTTGCCTTTCGCAGTTCATCACTATTTACCGGCCAAGGATCATAGCTATTAAATCTGTGAGTTACTCCCGCCCACAGATTTTCAATTGGGTTCATATCTGGAGAGTTTGCAGGCCAGGGCAATTGCTGAACCCATTGGTTTTGAAGAAAAACAGTGATTCTGCGGCCTCGATGTGGGGTTGGCAGTCGTCTTGGTACACAAAGTTGTTCCTGAAGATGACTCTTACCAATCGAAGCATTGTTTGCTGTAGAATGTCTCTGTAGGAATCCTGGATGAGGTTGCCTCCTAAAAAAAACAACTGATTCTGGGCACCGACATGAAATGCTCCCCTGCTTGGACCCTAGGCAGTACACAATCGTCGTTTTATGCCCTTCGTACACATCGGTGGACACGGATTCGACGATCAACCCTTAAATATCCATATCTGGCCTCATCACTGAAAACGACGTGATTCCAGTGTTTTGGTTGCAAACGCACGTGGTCCCCAGCCCATTGCAGACGTCGCTGTATATGACCTCTGTTAACAGTGGTTTCCCTACTGGCCTTCGTGCAAAAAAACCGGCTTGCAGTAATCATCTTGTTTACGAGGGACCTTGAAACGGGCGTTTGAATGACATTCTGCCTCTCTTTTCTGAGGACACTGGTTGTCTTTGTACGACCAGCACGGCGTCCTCTAAGGAAGAAGGTAATCCTGTCTTCTTGGTGTGATACGCGGACACCCTGGTCGAGGTATTGGGGTAGGTGCCCCTGTTGCAGCATTATTGGAGGACTTCACAAACGGTTCCTGATAAATGTTGATTACCTGGCAATGGCTGTCCGTTTCTGGCCATTTTCTCTGAGAGCAAGAATCCCATAGTAAGCTGCATTGCTTAGCTGTCGAACCATATCTTCACTTAGGTACCTGTCAAGTTTCAGAGCGATCCCTTTGTTGCTTCTCTAAACACACTCCAAAGATTGACCAAACCCATACGTTTTTATACAATGGCAGAAATTGCCGAAAAGACCACCCCTCACATTTCTAACCACAGAACATGCAACTGCATGCATTAATTGTTTCGAGGATTGTGTGGTAATTAGGTAACATATCTGGCAACACATGGAGTGACACCTCAGTTTTTTAAAGTAGTTAGAGAGAAATTAAATATTTTGTAGAAAATTTACCCGCCAAAAAATAATATTCCATATTAAGTGGTAGCCCTGTACATGAGGGTCCAACTTGCCCCGAGTCAAGGGGGTAAACTAGCCCCGGGTGCACATTTTTCATTTTAAAGGATCGCAGCCATTTTTGGTGCTAGAATGAACTACAATGATGCATTTCTGTAAAACTTGAAACAATGAGCTTCAGTATGATGCCCTATACATATACTATATTCGATCAAAGTCTTATGAAAATAGATCTTTAAATCTCTTTAATAAAGTTACTTTAAGATGCTAAATTCTTTCATTTGGACTCACTGCCTAGATAAAACTTCTTTACGACCAACGCTTTCGCAGCAATATTGGATACGGTCACTTTACTAAATGATGTGATCAATTTTTCACTCCGTAGTTACTTTTTCATAAATTGATGGGGAATGGGGGGGGGGGGGGCAACTTACCACGGTTCCAACTAGCCCCGGTCCCCCCTATTGACGCAAAACTGATTTATCCTACCTCTTGAAAATATAGGTAAGCCTGACCTTGCATTTAAGCAGATAATCGTCTTGGATCTATTTTCACTTTCGAAGGTTTTGTTGTGATCGAGATTGGAGAACATTTTATAAACCTCACAGTCTTAATTTCATAACAATTATCACAATTGATGATAAACTTTGAATGCCAATGATGAAATCTTACATACCGTTAAAAATCAAATTGTGCCACGGGTGAAAGTTTCTAGGTATTTTACTCACAAAAAGCTTCAACCGCACCCTTCACAACACAGTTTAATACGCGACTGTCGCGACTTGTTAGTAAACAGAAAAAAAACTTTGTGTATTTTAGTCCATAATCTGACGTTGTGAGTGGATGGAGGCATAATGAACTTATCGATGACGTCACTGAATGTTCAATTTCGAGGGCATTGTTGGGACCAGTCCCTACAAATAGAAAAAAAGGCAATCAGTGAACTAAACTATATGTAAAAAGTACTCTTTTTTGGGGCATGAGAAAAAAAACTAAATAAATTAACGATTTTTTCACATTTGCATTGGTTGTTTCTCCATGACTTAACAAATCCTCCAGCTTCACATATTTAACAATATAAACAGTTTTAATTTGGTACTATCAATAATAATGAAAGAAACAGGGCGATATGCATCCCAAAATTTCCGTGTACCAACCATTTTGGGCAAGAGTGTATATATCTACTAAATATCGTTATATATGTTTGCGTTAATTCTACAAGTTTTGATGACCAATCCAGATTTGAAAAAATTTTAGTCATCCTTCACAAATCTTTACATTACGCTGCCTATTCCTTCTTAATCAATCTGTTCTTCTACAGATAAGTGCTCTAGCTATAAGCTAGAATTCTACAGTTTATAATCGAACTGAACATTTTTGATATTGTAGACAATAAACTTTTTTCTCTATAGATTAGCAGGATTCTTTGTAAAAGTATTGTCATTACCTTTCTCCTCTTACTTTGGAGTATTGCCGTGCCAAAAATGAAATTAAATAGTGGCGTTAATAAATTAATACTCCTTTCATTTTTTCAGATTTCGTTGGGTATATTTATTTCTACTTGAGTGGTTTTATGTTGTTTCGACCTGTATTCGGCTGTATTAACCACATGGTTTTCAGTGGATATATTCAATTTGGTTTTAAGAAACAAAGAATCAGACAATGCGTCCTCAAGAACCCTTCCATAGTCTAGGCCGTGTTTGAAAAAGTTACAATCGAAGACCCCATTCCCATAGATTTTAGATCGATCTATCCATGTGGGGAGTCTCACTAGATTACTGTCAGCTTAGCCGGCTTAAGCGTCTGTCCCGCCTACTAAAAGCTGTAAGGGGGTAAATAACTATGGTGAGCGCTCGGCTGACTGCAATTTAGCGTGAACCCCCAGGGAGTTAGGTCGATCTAAATCTAAATCTCTGGATCGATCTAAATCTCTGGGAATGCACCCGAAGTTACTTGTGTCAATTTCGTTATTCATTTTTTTAAACTCGTTTTCCCATTCCTAAGAAGTAAATTTTCTATCATACACTACATTTCCTTTTTATGTACAGACACAGATGTGTCTGTACATATAGCCATCATCTGCGTCTGTCCTCGTCGCCGTGCACTTTTACCGATAACACGAT